GCCACCCATGCTAGCCCATTTTTAACACCAAAGATACAAGTAAAGTTACTTTGAAAGGTAGATTTGCTTGAGAATGGTAAAATGGTCCAACTGGTACAGTGAAAAACTGGAAGGACTTATTTATATATTTTCAAAAAACCTAAACTGACTGTGGCCAAACTGAATAGGAATATTTGAAGGATCCCGCAATTCAGCCTCAACCCCGACGCCCTCGCCGATTTGCTGCCACCGCCGCTGCTACGGCGGCAGAGGCCTCACCTAATGCACTTGCCTCCGCCAAAGGGAAAAGAGAGAGGGAGAAGGAGAAGGAAAGGACGAAGCTCAGAGAGCGACACCGCCGTGCCATCACTAGCCATATGCTGGCCGGTCTCAGACAATATGGTAATTTCCCTCTCCCTGCGCGTGCGGACATGAACGATGTGCTCGCTGCCTTGGCTCGCGAGGCTGGATGGACGGTCGAGCTTGATGGCACCACCTATAGGCACTGTCCTCCTCCCCAGCCTCTCCACTTTGTTCCAAAGCCTAGACTCTCCAACATCCAATCCAAAAAGGACCAATCTACGCAATCGTATGCCTTTTCAAAATCTGCTTTGAAAACAAAAGCTGGCTGTTCTTTGTCTTAATTTCATCCACAACTTCATTCAGCACCAAGACACTATCCACCAACTGACGGCCCCCCACAAAGGCAGATTGCGTTTCACTCACTATTTCTGCTACCACAGATTTCAATCTATTTGCCAGCACCTTAGCTAATAATTTATAGACACATCCTATCAAGCTAATGGGTCTATAATCCTTTAGTCCCCCAGCATTCAACTTTTTAGGAATCAGGGCTATAAATGAAGAATTTAGTCCCCTCACCAATTTACCATTACGATGGAATTCAGAAAAAAAATTGATGAAGTCCTCCTTTATGTAGTGCCACGCAAATTTAAGGAAGTTGAAATTGTATCCGTTAGGTCTCGGTGCCTTTGAACCATCACAGCTCCTTAACCCTTCCTCGATTTCTTCAACTGAAAAAGGTCTTTCTAGCCAATCCTTTTTCTCCTCAGAGATCTGGTGGAATCTAATATCCCCAGGCTTGGGTCTATTCCATGACTCCTTGAAACAGGCTTCTAAAATATCTGCAGACCTCATTTTTTACTAAATCTGGATCATCAATCCATGCCCCTTCACGCATTAAGCCCGCAATATTATTATGTGCTCTTCTTCCTTTTGCGACTCTATGAAAAAAACGGGTATTTGCATCTCCCTCACGCACCCATTTACTTCTTGATTTCTGCTTCCATATAAGTTCCTTCTTTCTCAAAACTTCCCACATCTTGGAAAAACCTTCTTGCCTCTTCACAATCTCAGCATCTTCCAAATCAGATATCTCATTCTGCATATCCACCTGCTCAATCTTTTTTACCGCCTGTTCATATTGAGTTTCCATGTTCCCAAAGACTTCCTTGTTCCAACCTTTTAAGAATCCTTTGAGCAATTTCAGCTTTTGCTGGCATTTATACCCTACAAAACCCTCAACCTCCATCTCACTCCATTTATCTTCTACAAACTTCTTGAAATCTAGATGTTGTTGCCATGCATCCAAAACCCGGAAAGGTCTTGGTCCCCAATCTGCTGATCTAGACTTCAACACAATTGCACAGTGATCAGAGATATTCCTTGGCAATCCTTGCTGTATCCACTCCCCTTCCAAATTACTCATCTTAGTACTCAATAAAAATATGTCCAATCTACTCCTTGCTGTACCATCTGGCTTGTACCATGTATACCTTCTATTTGTTAATTTGACATCCACCAAATCAGTTGACACAATAAACTCATCAAAGTCCTTCATGTCCGGGCTTTCTCCTGTTCTTCCTCGTCTCTCCCCTGGTCCTCTCACTGCATTGAAATCCCCTGCTATCAACCAACATCCCTCGTTGTCTGTCACCATACTCCTCAGCTCCTCCCACAAAGTAACCTTTTTCTGTCTATCCTTAGGACCATACACGTTTATTAAAACTACTGTTGTTTATTTGCTCCCCATTCCCCTGAAATTCCCACGAATCCATCTCCCATGAATTCTTCCTTCTTAACAAAGCGTCGTCTGTCCCATATACATAATAAACCCCTTGAAGCTCCATCGGAGCCCTTCGCAACCCAATCTAACTCATCTGAATTTCGTAACTGGCTACAGATATCTACATCCACTTTTCCTAACTTTGTTCCTGCAGGAACAGAAGATCAAGCTTCTCTTCCGTAACGAGCCTTCTCACTTCCTTCTTTTTCAGCGTCCCGCCCAAGCCTCTTACATTAAAAGATATAAATTTCATAAATCAATACTAATCGCACAACCTCTGTTCGACCTAAACGCCCTTACAGCCCCGACATGTCTCTCCGCCTTGCCCCTTCTTGATCTATGACCTCTAGTAACTTTGATTGAATCTCATCCTCATTATTACCAAAATTTAAACCCAACCTCCTCCCCACCCCCATCATCCGACGCACCTCATGCATATTCATCTCCCTTTGCAACACCCTATTTCTATTTTCAATACAACCATCTGAAATAGAAACAGCAACAGCGTTGCATACCTTTTCATCCCCAGCTTGGCTAGATCCCTCTCTCCGTTCCTGTCGTTGCCTTGTTCTTGGTGTTACTCTCAATACTGCTTTTGCCCAGATTTCCTCCATACTCTCTGGATAACATTCTTTAAGAAGCCTTTGTTTTTTGCTCACCTTTTTTGAGTTTCCCGATTTCTGTATTGATGGTGAATCTGTCTGGTTTTGAGCATGTAAAATGGGCTCTTCTATGCTCATTTCCGTGATCAGTCCCCAGTCCATCCTATTAGTCAGCCCATTGTTTTCTTCTAGCCCACCACAACTCAGTCTTTGTGGCCCACCTTCCTCGGACAGCTCAAAGCTTGCATTCCCATCCAACTCTACCTCTTGCACACTTTGATTACATTTCTCCATTACCGTTGCCATCCTCGGATTTGAAATTGAAACCAAATCCTTCATTAAATGCTCTGACCCGTTACTTGTGTCCTCGTCGTCGCCAATCACATCCGAATCCAGTTCTTGATCCTCATTCTGACACCACGAGTTTGAGTAATCGGACTCCGTTTCCAGGTCACTTCTCTGATCATTCTCCGATAGCCACCAATCCGGATCGGAGTGCCATTCCTCTTCAACTATCTCTATCTCGTACACTTGCTCTTCCACCTTCAACTTAACTTGTTTTGAGATTTTACTAGAATCTGAGCATAAGATCAGTACTCTCCCATCCCATAAGATTGATTTCTTCTTTGTATCCTCATGAACCATCAAAACTTGTCCGATTGACTCGCCTATCATCTTAAAACACCTCTCACCCTATGCCTTTAATGGCACTCCCGAAATGCGCACCCACATCATTCGGCTTTTCTCCTCTGGTGCCGTCTCCCATGGTTTTATAGACTCAAACCATAATCCAAACAACTCCTGATTATGCTTCATATAATCGGATAAAAACCCTGCAACTCTTTCAGTTAGTAACACCCGTCTACCGCCAATTGGTGATAACGTGATTGAGCCTCCATCAGCGTCCATTTGCTCTTGAATCTCGGACACCAGCGCCATTGACCTCACCACTGCCACCATGCCACCCTCAAGCCATTGCAGCTCTTCTTTCGTTGGGGTGTATTCAATAATTTCCTCTGTTTTTTCTACCTCCATATTTTCCTGTATCCCTGTTTTGACAACTTCCTTTTCCAGGACTGCTTCTTTTACCTTTTCCTGAAGGTGTTCTGCTACCTTATCCTCCCTTTTTCCTTGTCCCTTCACTGCTTGTGCGTATGAATGCCCCGGTTGGACCAATCTATTCATGCTGCATTTTGATCCATTAACTTTAGGCACGCCTTGAACCTTCCTGGGCATTGGTGTTTTCCTCTATCTGTCATTTGCAATCTTCACCCTCATCTCATACGAGCCAATCCAAATCTCATTCAGCCTCCTCTCCATTTGAATCTCATCCTTGACTCCTATTAGCCGCACAAAACCATACCTCTTCCCTCTCTTATCTCGTTTGCTCGGGAGATACACATCAACAACCCTGCCGTACATCTGAAAACTGTTCCGTAGAAATTTTGCCTCCAATTCCTCTGGGAAGTTATAAAAGAAGAATGCCATTGACCCTCCGAAGGACTGTGCGCTAGAACCTGCAAAACCATTCCTGTATCCTTGCCGCTATCTGTAGCCACTGTCTTTCCTTGCTGCCACGCTCCTTGCCGAAACCCGAGTGCTCTTCATTTTTTTATTTTTATTAAAGTGAATATTAATTTTAGTGTTATTGCCACATGAATATATTTAATTAAGCAATTGATAAATTAAATGATACTTTTTATTCTTTCAAGCTTTTTAACCTCTGCTTTTAGGGCACAGGTTAAACAAACCTATTTACAAATTCAAGATTGCCAAAAAAAAAAAAAAAAACTTTTAGGCAGCCAAAATAAATATAAGGAAATATTACCAGAAAATAGCATTTAACTTATAAAAATATAATTGACAAACAAATAACTGTTGATTATACTTATATAATCGACAAAAACTTTGTCGATTATGATAAGTGTCGATTGTATAAATATAATCAACAGCCAATAGTAGAATCAATGGTCAGTTTTGTCGACTATGTAAGTATAATCAACAACCAATAGTCACTATCAATTATGCTTGTATAATTAACAAAAATGACTATCAATTATGCCTATATAATCAACAGCCACCATTAGCTGTCGATTGTGTCAAAATTTTGTAGATATATATAATAATAACATCTATAAATATATTACATATCTCGTAAATCATATATTTGGTAATAAAAATTTAATATTATCAAATGTGAGCTTTATCACGCCCCAAACCGAGAGCGAAACAGACGCCGTGCACTCGTGAGCGAGGCCCACAAATGCACAAGGCTCGAGACCTATTGAGTTCTTACTTAGCAATTCAGGTAATTCAAATCTAAGCCTTTTTACTTTACCAAATAGTTACCAGTGAATGTACAAAATTATCACTTTATATATACAATCATGACTAACACTAAATCTTGTACACAAAATTTTCTATGTCAAGCATGGGTGACTAACGGCTTAGCTACAAAAACCTAAGTCCAAAAGTGCCTAGCCGCCTAGCTCGTCACTCTCCCGGGCTTCCCACGCGTCGGGTCTCACTACCTGAAATGGT